TTTTAATAATTTTATTTATTTATTTTTTCCCCCAAAGCCCCAGTAGATAGTTGTATGTCACAGTTGCACATCCTTCTAGTTGCCGTATGTGGGACGTGGCCTCAGCATGGCCAGACAAGCAGTGCGTCGGTGCGCGCCCGGGATACGAACCCGGGCCACCAGCAGCACAGCGCGTGCACTTAACCACCAAGCCACGGGGCCGGCCCATTAATAATAGCTAACTCTTATTGAAATAAAAGCCACTATGCTAAATGCCTAACCTTCCCTTTTTTCACTTATTCCTTTCTACATTCCTATGAACTAGATATTACTACTGTGCTCATTTTGTAGATGAGGAATCTTAAGGTTCCTTGGCCGAGGTCACAGAGTTAACAGGAGGCAGGGCTAGGATTTGAACCCAAGCACTCTGACTTGAGAGCCCTTACTCCCAAACACTCCCCAAACACCAAAGTCACAAAACCCATCTGTTATGATGCATTTAGTACCTATGGATTTTCTCGTCTGAAAATTCTTTTATATTCCTCCCTTCAAGAGGTGGAGCCTAATTCCCCTCTCCTTTTTTGAGTGTGGGCTGGACTTAATAACTCACTTCTAACAAATAGAATAAAGCTGAAGTGATGTGATACGACTTCAGAAACAGACCTCTGCTTGATCTCTTCCTTTTGGGTCACTCTCTTGGAGGAAGCCAACTGCCATGTCATGAGTACACTCAAGTAACTCTGTGGAAGGCCCCTTAGGCAAGGAACATGGTATCCTGCCAATAGTCATGTGACTGAGCTATCTAGGACACAGACCCTCCAGCCCTAATCAAGCCTTCAGATTACTGCAGACTCATGAAAAACCCTGAGCTAGCACCATGCAGGTATGCCACTCCCCAATCCTTAAGCTTAAAAACTGTACAATATAATAAATGTTTGGTGTTTTAAGATGCTGAATTTGGGGTAATTTGTTCATGAGCAAAAGATAATTAATACAGAAGGAAGGAGCAGTTTAAAGTCCCAATTTGTCACATTTCACAGTTTAGATAATGAAAGAAAATGGTCAAGTTCGTAAATGACCTCTAACTTTCAACTACCGAGTGCTGAGCAGTTCTTTCCATTTCTTAGTTCTTTACAGTCTGGGCATCAATTCTTTCATCCTTCAGTGTCTCCATTTTGAAAATAAGTCTTCATAATATAATCATTGGCTATTTGAATGATTTTATGCTCCTGTAGTAACCAAGATGGAAAAAATTCTTGAGAAAGATATAAATATACAATTGTTTCCAATCTCATATAGGTTTTAAATGTTTTTATTTTTAGCTTACTCTGGTGATTTCATTTGTATTTTCCCTTTATCTAGTACACAGAATCATAAAATGTTACAGTTGGAAAGGAGCATAGAGACCACATCACCAAGAGGTTTTCAAAAAATAAATAACCTGAACATCATGATCTCTTTTCCTGACTACCATGAATTAGATATATTACGCTTTAAAAACCAAATATATAATTGTGTGCTCTATCAGATACTAGTACAAAGAAAGGGCAACAGGCTTTAAAATTAAAAAAAAAAAATTATGGGTAGGAATCAAAGGACAGAGACATTCTGTCCGTTAATTGTTATCTGCCTATAAGTTAGGAGAAGGATGCCAATTTCCTATTTTAGTAATAACAGCTCTTTAAACACCAATGGTAGAGTTATTTGAGAATCACCGATTTAGTCCAATGCCCTCATTTTACACATCAGGAAACTGAGGCCACAAGAAGTTAGATAATTTGCCCAAAATCACACATTATCTTATGATTTCAAGGTCAAAAATTCTACAAAACAATCTTCTATAAAACTTAGAAGTTATAAAATAGATGAAAAGTTAAATCCATTTTACTCTTATTACATTTATGAATAGTAAATTGCAAAATGGTTGAAGTTTTGCTTTTTAATGTCAAAAGCTAAAGCAATGGTTAAGTGTCTTTCTGAAAAATTAAGAAAAAAATGCAAAAAAATTTTTGAGCAGTGAATGCTGGGAGAACTATAAGAGAAGGCCAAACAGTCTAAGCTTTTCTGATACAACCAAACTAACAATGAAATTCAAAACTTGGGTGTGGTGTGTTGGGCATGTTCAGGAGAAAAAATGATCAAGAAAACTAAATTCTAAGAAAAATATGTCTATCAAGGACAACAAGCTAGAATCAAGTGACTTAAGACCATTAAGTGAAGCTTGATTCATCAACATTGGAAGATAGACAATAGGTACAGGAGTGGGTCTATAGATTTACAAAGAGAAAAGATGAATTATTTCATACGTTTTATACTACTGTTTAATTCTTCATTTGCGAGTTTTTACACTACTGATTTGCTTTATTTAATAGTCAGGTTTCATAAAATATTATTAAAATGAAGATGTTTGAACCAATAGTCACATATTCAATTCATTTATTCAACAAGTAATTATCCAGCACTTACTTTGAGCAAGTTTCTGTTGTAGGCACCTATTACTACACCTGGTAGCACTAAATTTGGTAACAAAAGAAAAAAATTAAGCCTTCTCAGTTCACATAGAACCCCCACTAAGGGTGAAATTCTTGGAGACAGTATGATATACAAAACTGTTTGTACATGCAATTAGAGAATAGTGGGTATATGCTACATTTTGGACTACTACCCAGGAAAGTTAAATTATTTATATG